GGCAATGACTTATCAGAACTCCACAATCACACCTCTTCACTAGCAATAGGCTTCATTTTGTGCACTGTAGTGTAGTGATAAAAAATAGGTCATGGAATCAAAACTTCCAGTTCAAATACCAAGTTAGTCAATGAACAGATCGATGTGTACCCTTGGCAAGCTACTTTACCTCTTTACTCAGTTTCATCATCTGTGAAATTGGGATAAAATTAGAACATACTTCATCAGGTTATTATAAAGATTAAAAGAGTTCATAGGTGGAAAGTCTTAGAACAACACTTCATATATACATCTTCTTTTATTATATTTAATGAAAAAAACCTAGATGATAAGCTGTATGTGAGCACAATGTAGAGAAATCACTGGTTTGTGACTGGTCTGCTTCCTTTACTTACAAGGACTCAGGCATTCCCAGCCCCAGCCGCTCACGTATGACACTCATCATTATTAATGGCATTTCTAACACAGCAACTGTACTTGTAGATAGAACATTTTGACCTATTTTTTTTGCATGGGATCCACAAAGTGGTTAGAAAATAAATTGATCCAGGGCTTAAAAATAGTGAGTGAGCTTTCTATTTTACCATGACTATATGAAAAATAATAGAGATTAAATCTTTATTGATGTATCTCCAACCCTTGGCATAATAGCTGTCACTAAGAATTTGTTGAATAAATGAATGTTTAATGTATAAAACTAGTTAATAAAAACCTTTGTTTTTTTACTATGTTTAAATTGTTTTCATTGCTGATTTCTTTTTGGGGATGGGGTGGGCTTTTAATGCCACTGGTTTTTAAAAAGGCCTCAGGGCCTTTGCATACCTTGTTCCTCTGCTTGGTATATTTTTCTCTGTCATCTTTACACAGATAATCCTTACTCACCCTTCAGCTCTCGGCTTGATTGTTCACCTACGTATGAAGGGACATATCCAGTGGGCCTTGGTGTAGAAGTCCCTCCCTGACTCACATTAGACTAGCATTAGTGTTCCTGCCAAGTTCTCCCATGGCAACTTGTAACGCCTGCATTAGCACTGCATTGTTACTGCTTGTTTTGATGATCTCTGCACTAGACTGTAAGCTACATTAAGCCAAGGACTATATATGTATTAATCAGTTAATTTGTTTATTCAACAAATATTTACGTGCACCTATAATATTCTGGGCATTGTGCTAGTTCCTGGCAATACAAAGTGTGGGAAATCGACACTGCCTCAGCACTTTGGAGTATATATACAGTGTAGTGGTGAATACAGAGGTCAATTAAATAAATATTTTCTTAAACTATGACAAGTGCTACAAAAGAAAATTGCAGGGTATTATCTGATTCATCATCTCACTCCCTTTAAGCACCATGCTCACATCCCTAAGCACCATGACTGATACAGAGTTGGTGCTAAATAAAATTTTAAATGATTGGATTAAAAACCTGGCTATTTTTTTCCCTCTTTCCCAGACAAATGCCTAGTCCTCTGAGAGTCAACAACAACTTTTCCCATCAGAATGAAGACGATATTTTGATGCACATCTTTGGTAAATGGAATGAGCTTAAATGCCTCTACTGATTCCAGGGAAATTCCTGAGAATTAAGTAAAAGGCATGTCAACATGCCTTCCTTTGATATGTTTTCTAAGGAAATCAGTCTTTTCAAATCAGCCCTCATAGAGATTAAGAAGAATATACAAGTTATTATTAATTAAATGTTTGCTATAATTTGTACATTTACGATACAGTTGAGTGGTGTTTTTCTTTCATTTATACATATTTTGGGGAACTCTGGCATCAGTGAGGTTAATTTTATAGGACTCAAAGAATAATTTTCAGATTTAAGTTGTTACATGTGCTTATACATTTAAGTATCTTTTTTTACAATCTGTTTGTCACAGTCTTGATTGTTTTTCTACTGATGTGCTCATGGACACTCACGCTGGTATTTTAAATCAGTGACATTCTGAGGGTTGGTGGCTGTGTGATACTTTCTATTTAATATGTTTACTATTATTACCCATGGTTAAAGTATAATACATTTGCATTAGAATCCTTTCCCATCACCAATTTCAAATAACAACATTGTTTCTATGGGAAAACACAATCAGGTTTTTATAATGTATTGATCAATGACATGCTATCTGGGAAGCACTGTGGCAAAAATGGCTGACTATGTACATGTAAAGAACATGTAGAGAAGATGCATGTGTGTCTCACCCACCCCAAGATAAATACATGTTCAGGAACACGCATTTTCATACATGATGTAGCTCGTAGTAAATATGTAAAAAGAACATTTCATTAAATGCTAATGTCCAAGTGTAGGAAGTAAGCAGAAATACAAAGGAAAAAGAGGGCTCTGGACCATTCTAAAATTTACATTATTGTTAATAGTGAACCCCACTGCTAAAAGATAGCAAAAATATCAAGAGTTACCTACGTGCTGTGATTATGCTTTCCTGCACTTCCATGGAATGATAAAATAGAGTATCAGGGAAAGATGTCACTTCCAGTACCTGCTCCATCTTGCTGAGGAAACAGTCAATGTAGTCTCGAGGGTTATTAGGATCCAGGGACTTTTGATGCTCCTTCACTTTTTCCAGAATAAAATACTGAATATCCTTAACCCTTTTAAAAAATGTTCTGTGCTTTCCAGGGAGATGCTTTATGAAGTTTGGCCATAGATTGTAAATCTAAAATGGAGAAAATACACCAGAAATTCAGTTTGTGAAGGGAGACTAAGGTTTCTGAGTGGCGTCTGACCAGGGAGAACGTCCTCCAGCTTCCAAGCAGAAGAGAAGGGAGGGTGTTCATCAGGTGCACAAGAGTGGCCCTTCCTTTCATCCTCCTCGTCCACCCTTGGCCAACTTCAGAGTCACAGAGGAGGAGAATGCATGTAGGGGTCTTAAAAGAAACCATGGCATCTGGGAACACTCTGTCTTCTTTTGTGGGAGTAAACCCATATAAGTGAACAGAGGGCAACTGTCCACAGATGCCGGAGGAAGAAACACTGCACTCATCCCCTCGGCATTAGACACACGAGGAGGGAAGGTGATGGTGCTCACGTTGGCGCTGTGCTCACTGGGGCAGGTCTGGGAGCTCACAGCCCTTTACCCTGCTCGCAGGCTCCCAGTGGACCCCTGAGATCAACCGCAAGGGCAGACGCAATCTTGGCCTTACCTGGCTCCAGAGAGAGTTTACTTGATTAAAGTTTTCATTTATCAGACCCATTAGGAAGAGTAGTGTCTTGTTCTTGTAGTGGAAATGCTCATTGAAGAGGATGGAGCAGATTATGTCGCAGGGAGCACAGGAGATGATGAAGGTAGGGTCAAAGGGCTGAGCTGGTGTGAGAAAAAACAACTCTCACACTGAGAAATTTCATCAACCTGCATCAGGGTTTCAAGAACAGGGCCTCCCTTCTGCTCAGATGGATACATAGTCTGTTTTCTCTAAGCTTCCCGAAATTAGAATGTAAGCCTCTTCTACCAATACTAATACTATATGCTCTATAGTATTATACCATGCTACTACTACTAATTATTATGTTATTCTATGAATGCTATAATAGTCATAAAAGCAACATGTAACTTTATGGAGAATTTGCTACATGCTGGATACTGTGTTAATATTTTACAAAGTATATTATTTAACCCTCATTCTGAGGTTTGATTTTTAGCCCCATTTTTCAGATGAGGAAACTGCCTCTTAGAGAAGTTAAGTAACTTGTCCAAATTTACATACCCAGTAAGTGCTGAAGTTGGGAAATGAATCCAAACGAAGGGATTTGAGAGTTTCCTAAGCAACAGTTTTGGGTCATTTTCTTCTCACCCTTTTTTCTTAGCCAACCCCCTAATTAACAGAGCTGATCATGGACCACTGAGTATTTCTCAAAGGAGGAGCTTCAGTTGGAGGCTGTGTGTGTAGCAAGTCCCCTTTGCCCCCAAAGGATGATCAGTGGAACTCACCCTCCATTTTCCTGAGCTCCTCCACCAGAAACTGGGCTTCCTCCTGGACCCTCTCCTCGAGACTTCTTTTCCCCATCCCAAAGTTCCTCAGGGTCATGAGGGAGAAGCACCGCATTTGCTTCCACTTGTCTCCGTTACTGAAAACGATTCCTAGGAAAAGAAGCAAAGAGCAGGAAAGCATTTTGTATTATGGAGTCAGATTTCCCTAGAGTGGAGCTCATGTCTACCTTAAACTGTTCCCAGTGCCCCTTATCAGGGATCCAGAAACTGGAATTTTAAGAGTACAACATATTCTGTGGTTTGGGGGAGATATTTGTCACAAAGGAAATAAAACCCAAGCTCTGGTCAACAGGGGGCAGAGATGATGGAATCAGTCAGGGGATCATTGGCAGGTGGAGAACATTCCCAAGCATGGGAAAGGCCCTCTGATTTTGTTAAAGATGGTAAAGATGTTAAAGTTGTTAAAGATGGCGCATGTTCTTGCAAACCCCTTTCATGCGTGTCTGTTTTTACACTTCATCTCTCTCTAACTTTGTGGTTTAGTTCCATGTGTGATTTTTCTCTGTTAAGAGGATAAGCAACTTCAAAGCAGATCGATATGGAACTTATGTTTCTATTTTCTCTGTCTTATTCAGATTAAGCTAACGTCAGCCTAATCTGAAAAAGAAGAAACACAGGAGTAAAGGAATTCAGTATATTCTATACCAGTGCTTTTTCATGTCTTCCTCTGTACAAAATCAGTTACGTATCCTGAATTCCCCACTTCTCTTAATGCACCACCAGTTTCCTAGTGCCCCAAACCCAAATCTCAGGGCATCTTCACATCCCTCTTGCCTTTCACCCTACATGTCTGCAATTGGGAAGCCCTGCCGATTCCACCTCCAAAATGTCTTTCTCATTGTCCTTTCTTGTCAATTCATCCTACACCACCACAAGGGGTTCTAATATTTTTACAGATTTGAAAAGTTACAGTCATCTACCACCCCTCTAAGATGCAGTTTCCAGGTTACTCAAAATCAAATACAGGGACAATTATGCTAGGGCTTAAAAAGCATTTGGTGGACTCAACAGCCTTGTTGTGACACCTTTAAACCCTCAAGCCTGTCCGCCATTCAGCTCTAACTCTGAGCTGATGGGCCGGTCACAGCTGTTCACTAAACTCACCTCCATTGTTTGCACCCGCATTTCGTTCATTCTCTTCCTTTTGCTCACCTCAGCTGTTCTGCTCCCACCCTATTTACTTCATTGAGTTTCTAGCTACCCTTTAAGAGCCATCTCAGAAACCTTCTCTTTGAGTCTTCCCCGTCATCTACTGGAGGTAATCTCTCTTTCCATTTAAGTGAATTGGTTTAATACGATTTGTCTTTCCTGTCTTGAATTATGGCAATTTGTTTACTGGTGTTAATTCCTATACCAGATGTTCTTTATTTTAGTGACTGGTGCATTTTATTTCCTGTGACACGTGATGATCTCTTACCTTGCACATAGAAGATATTCAATTTATAATAATTTAAATATTCATTTCACATCTACTGAATTAGCAAGCATTAAAAAATTATTTTACCTAAAGAAATCAAGCTTGTAGCAAATTTGGTGTGTTCATTTAGCCTCATTGCATATCACTACATACTTTGGGAATTAAACCAATATTTATAGCAAAAAACTATTCAAATTGTCTTTGACCCATTAGTTGCTCGCCTAAGAATTTACACAAAGAAATCATTCAACAAAAGGTAAAAATGTGTACACTGCAATGCCATCAACGCTAATTTAAGAAATTTGTAAACAATCTAAATGCTAATGATTGGGTAACTGCCAACTATACAATGATAGTAAATCAATATTAGGAAAAGTTAAGCAATTGTTAAAATTATGATCATGAAAACCATGGAAAAATATCAGAAACGTTCATATTTTAAAAGAAAAATCAGTATACAAATGCTTCTGTACACTCTAATTACAACGATGTAAAATATGTGTGCGTATGGACAACATCTGAGAGATAGTACATAAAGATAAAAATAAATATTAGTGTGTTGAGACAGTATGGTTAGTGGCTCTGGCCTCTAAAGCTAGGCAAACTGAATTCAAATCTCTGCTTCAAAACTTTCTAATTTGGGCAAGTTATTTAACTTCTATTCCCTCAGCTTTTCATCTGTTAAATGGAAATAAAAAATATCTTCCTCATGGGGCCACTGTGTTGACTGAACGTGGTAATGCATGTGAAACCCCTAGCACAGTATCTGGCGCATAAGTATTTAATAAATATTAGCTCTTATATAATTACGGCTATTACAACACTACTTCAATTTAATAATAATCCAATTACTATACCATCTAACATTTATGATAATTATCAATAATAACATTATTATTATTGGTTTTAGGAATATTTTTATCTCTCCAAATTTTTAAATGGTATTTTTATGTCACCTTTAAATCAAAAGGTAATTATAAATTTGATTAAATTATTTAAAATTAATTAGACATTTAAATATTGCTTTTTTTTGCTCGTTATTCTTCCACTTAATAAATCTGCACTGCTCTCCTGCCAACTAAAGAATCCTCTACAAGGATTAGTCATTAGTCACTGCAGTCATCGACTTTCAAAACTAAGGAAGGTCAGGGTGGAGGATCAGGAGTGAGGTACACTGTGCTCTACGAAAACTGACAGAACAGGTCTTCAGATATAGTTAGGTATTTTGAGAACATTTTATGAACCCAATTTCCTGCATCTTCTCATACTTAGAAAAGCACTAAAGCCATTAAAGGAGACATCTGTTCCTCATGACTAGCAGCACCCTTCCACTAAGATGGAACTTGATTGCATGTACTCCCTTCACCGAATTGTATGTGTGCTGACCTCCCGCACTACCTCTTCAGAGCAGTTCCTCAGTGGTATCTGAGAGGGGTCTCATGGGCTATAGTCCTCAGTAAGTCCCCAAATAAAACTGAACTCACAGCTCTCACATTGTGCATTTTTTGTTTAGTTGACGCTGCTGTATGCCAGATTCGTAAAATACGACTGTAAACATTCTTGTTTATAATTTCTTTCCACATCTTGCATTATCTCTCAAGATAGATTTCTAAAGGGGAATTACCCTTCATTGTGAATGCCTCTTTAGAGAAGTTTGGTTGTTAAGGGATAAGAAACCTGGGACAAACTAAAGGGAGTTGTGAGGAGAGTGCTGAGGAAAATGTGCATGTGAGTGAGTTTATCACTCTCAGTGCAAACAAGAAAAGAGAAGCCTCTTGAAATATTTAAAACAGAGGAAGTTTAACCCAGGGAATTAGTTTTAAGATATGAAAACACTGAGAAGCCAAACCAGGGACAGGGAGACAACTGGTAATTATCAACAATGGAAAGTTGCTACCATCTCCCCATGGAAGGGACAAGGGGAGGAGCTGGTGTGACCAGAGCTCAAGGGTTGGGGTTACCTGGCCAGAGCTGAAACCAAGTGGCCCAATTCTAAAGGAGCTGGAGCCACAGGGGACACGTAGCTCATGGAAGAGATGCCATTTGAGGCACAGAGAGACGGGGATCTCTGGCTCTCCCACTTTCCAGTCTCTAACCAGTGCCTGTCTTCGATTGATTCCAGCCAGAGCCAGCGGTTGAATTTCAGCCTGTGGCCTCTCTAACATTGTGAACCAGGACCAATAAGGGAAAAGAGAGGACTGGTTCTCAGGACAAGCAGAGAAAGGTGGATAATCTGGGATGAAGAAGGCATTATCAAAAAAGTAAGATTCTTGGGAAGGTGAGATAGTATAGGATTTAGGGCACACATGGAAATTGTCCCTGTTAAGAAAAGGGATACTTTTTCAATTGTAACAGGAGGGGGGAAAAAAGGAGAATATGAGTGTAGAGGCAGATAGACCTATAGATAAAATGTTAAGAAACTGAGAGTTCTTTCTGATACTTCTGTTGTTACAATGAGTGTTCTGATACAATGGTTCTGAGCATAGATATGCATAGTGGGGGTGTTACTAGGAGGAAAGAAGAGTCTCTGAGACTGGAAAAGGGAGCCAAACAGAGGAATACGTGGTATTAAAATTCTAATTGAGGTTTAAAGGTATTAATTTAAAGGGAAGCCAGTGTAATCCCTGGAGAATTTTTCTAGCAGCACTTATCTTCTGGGCACAAGCACAGAGAAGATGGTTGAATTCTTCCAGAGTTGGAATCCATGCTAGGCAAATGTGATGGCAGGAGAGCGTGCCAGTATATTTCCTAGGGACTGATGACAGTAAATGAGCTATGTGAAGTCTGCTTTGATTCATTGATGTTGACAATTAAAAGTTTAAGTTCAGAGCTTTTGACAGTATTCCACAGAAAAACCTGTATCTTCTATTGCCCTGTCCCCAAATTAAAGTGTTTTGGGGGAGTCCAAATCTGGGAATATACACATATATGCACATGAATCTTACACAGACTAGTCAGTTTCTTCTGAGGAGAGTTCAGCTTTGGTCCAGTGTTGTCTATGACTCAGTGCAGAATCCTCTCTGATTCTAGCTTCTATTGCAGGACCATTTGGCTCCCACTTAAACCTATATTCTTCAAGTTTTCCCTTATCAGTACAAAGGTGATACTTTTTTCTCTCACCTGCTCACTGTGGGCAGATTGTGTTTTCCAGTGAGAACTACAACAGTATCTCTCAACCCTCATGTTCTTCTGCAGTGTGACCACCACCACTTTCCCATTAAGAAGGGAAGCCTAATTCCTCTCCATTTGGATCTGAGTTGGCTTTTGGGAATTACCTGCAACGAATAAAATATGGTCCTATGTTCCGAGATTTGGTCTAAAGAAGCTTTGCAGTTTGGAATGCTCACTCTCCAGATGCTCCCCCTCAGGACACCCCTTCCTGGATTCCTGGCACTGGTGAGAAGCCCAAGTCATGTGGACAGGCCACTCGGGGATGCTCTGTTGACAGTCCTAGCTGAGTGCAGCCTTTGGGTCATCCTTGCCCAGAAGCCACACTTGGAAATGAAGAAGACTCCAGATGATTCTAGCCCTCTACTATTTGAATCACCCTTAGCTGCTCTGTTTGGAAAAAAACGGATGTCTTCAGAGGCCCCAGGCCTTGCGGATCAGGAAAAGCCACTTCACTTCCACTGTGCCCTGTTCAAATTCCTGATCACAGAATCCATTAGTATAAAAAGAAAAAAAAAGTTGTTGTTTTATATCCCTGAGTCTGGGAGGTTTGTTACACAACAGGAGATAACTGGAATGCTTTCTTATTTTTCTCACTTTGTTCAGAATCTATACCTATTATGTAAATATATTTTTTAAAAATATACTTCTTTCTCTTTAGCACACCTACATTCCTATAGGCTTGGAGTATTTCAAAGAAGTGATGCCCTCCCCACACCCACTGTGTTTGGGTGAGCTTGTGTGTGAGTAAATAATTACGTAGTGCATTTGTTTCTACTTATGTAAACTAGATTCCTCAAAAAGTCACTGCAGTTTCTAGTCCACAGATACACTAGATTATTTTCCAAAAATGTTATAGCATCTGCACTCCTCCAGGTAAGGGATGAGTGGCTGTTTCTCCATACCTTGAAGAACACTAAGTAATTTTAATTTTTTGCACTTTAGCGAGTGAACAATGGCACCTAATACTGGTGTGTGGATCAAATGAATAACATAAAGGTTTGAGCTATTACAATCTGTCAGAGATAAATGTTTAAAGATTAAGAAACTAGGCAAAATATTGAGTTCATAGTTAACAGAAAATCTTTCAACAACTTAATTAGTTAAGACACAAACTGCAGGAATCTGCAGCACTATATTACAGTGTTCAAAGATCACTAGATCAGAAAGCCATCTAATATTTTAGCAGATACCTCACTTAGGAAGGTGTTATGGGTTGAATTGTTTCCCCTCAAAATATGCTGATGCCCTTGCCCCTAGTATCTGTGAATGTGACCTAACTTGGAAACGGGGTCTTTGCAGAGTTAAAATGAGATCATTAGGGTGGGCTCAACCCAATGTGACTGTATGCTTCTTAAAAGGGGAAATTTGGACACAGAGACATACACACACAGAGAACGCCATGTGAACATGAACGCAGGGATTGGGGTGATACATCTACAAGGCAAGCACAACGAAGTTTGCCAGCAAACCACCAGAACCTACAAGAACGGCATGAAACACATTTTCCCTCATGGCTCTTAGAAGGAACCAACCTCACTGACATCTTGATCTCAGGCTTCTGACCTCCAAAACTGTGAGACAATAGAGTTCTGTTGTTCTAAGGTTTGTATCCAGTTTTTGGTACTTTGTTATGGCAGCCATAGGAAATTAATGAAGAAGGAAAACTAAAATATCAGGGAATGGTTCTTCTCTTTTTGGGGGGGGGGGTGAGAGTGGGCAGGGAAGTAGTTAGGCTTGTTTATTTATTTAATTTTAAAAAATGGAGTTACTGAGGATTGAACCCAGTACAATGCATGCTAAGCATGCACTCCACCACTGAGCTATACCCTCCACCCTCTTCTCTTTGTTATTTTCCAGGATAGAAAGTTTTAGGAAAGGAAGAGTTGAATTCTCTCTTCTCATTATAGGCAAGTAAGAAACAGTAGCAAGAATTTTATAGGAAATTTGTAAACCAGTTGTCTCAGAGTTGTGAAAACTGCAATGTTTTGAGCAATAATTTTTTCCCTTCTTGAGCTCAACTCAGCTCAGCAGCCTCCTATTCCAGTTAAAAATTAATATAAAACTCACACACACCAAAGTAATCAACTTGTTTAGAAAAAAGGGAACAAGTAGAGGAAAGGTTTGGTTGCTTCTTCAGGTGAGCAAATTCATCCCGATCTTATATAAGAGAGCTAAATAATTGCTTCTCTTTGATCACTTAGTATACTGCATAATATTTAATTGCTCATAAATATGTTTTGAAAAGAATTAAGTTTCTATTTCTCTGGAACTTGCAATTTTACAATTTTAATGGTTTGGAGAAGACTTTCAGGCTGTTCTAGGAGTTTTTCTTTTATTGTGTAATAATTGAAACATAAAGAAATATATGTAACACATATCTAAGTTTTGAAACGTAATATAAAATGAATTGTCTGTGAGCCCATTATCCTACTGAAGAACTAGAGCCCAACTAATGAAGCTCCAGTTAACAGCTCTGGACGCCAAAGCTCTGGTGAATTTTCTGGTTGGTGAATACACCAATGCATCAAATGGGTAATGTATTCTGATTCCTAGGAAGAGAATACAGAAGCTCTGCATGTGGGGCCCTCCCAAACCTTGTCCTGTGTGTCTCTCCATTTGTAAGATTGTAATTCTAAGTATGGCATCTTCCTGAGTTCTGTGAGTTGTTCCAGCAAATTGTACCTGAGGTGATCATGGGAACCCTAAATTTTTAGCCAGTTGGTCAGAAGTATGGGTAGCCTGGAGACCCCTGAACTTGTGGCTAGCATCTGAAGTGAGAGTAGTTTTTTGGGGAATGACGCCCTCAATCTACGTTGTCTGCACTACTTGTAGGTAGTTAGAACTGCAGTGCGGTATTGCAGCATCTCATTTGTTGCTTGGTGCAGACCAGACACTCATAAAGTTAGTTAATCAGACTTTTTTTTTGCTGAAGAGAAGTAACCTGTATTTTGATTTGAAACATACCATATCCTTTCAAGATATTGTCAACAATTGGTATAGTTCCTCTGCCAAGGAATTTGTCACCTTGATCAATCAGAGCTTCCTTCACTGCCTCGTATCCATGTAAGACCACGGTGAGCTGAGGTCCAATGTGCAGAGTATAAACAGGGCCATACTGTTTAGCCAACTAGAACGAGATGCAAGGGGTTGTGTGAGTGCTATTGTGAAATCTCTCCACTGGAGGCTTTGGTGGAAATTAGTAATTCACATGTAGCTTAGACTTTGCCCTATTAATTTCATTTTAGGAATTTAACCCTGGGGTACAGTCATGGGTTCATTCTTTCCTTCCTTTATATGTGCAACCATTGAGCAAATATTTACTAAGCAACTATACTGTGTCAGACACTGTGCACAGCCCAGGAACTTAGAGTCTAGTGGAAGTAACAGGCAGTAAATTGCCAAACTACATTTGCAATACAAACTGCAATACAAATTTCATAACTCTATGAAAGTGATAAAGAACGTACTGTTAGATGATCATGGGGAAACTTAAGAAAATAGAGAGGTGAGGAATCTATGAGGAGGTAACACTTAACTAAAGGTGAGAAGGAAGCCACCAGGGTAAGGGCTTGGAGGAGAGCTTATGAAGCAGGTATTAAAAATGATGAAATCTATACATTTATGATAGCATTGTGTCAAGGGGAAAAGTAATGTACTATAACAGCTGGCAGCTGGGGTTGGTTTTCAAACTTATTTTACATCCACACAATTGAATTCAAACAGCCATTTGAAATTACTTATATGAAGATCTATAATGGTATGGAAACATGTTCAAGTTCTTAATTGTTGAAAAATAAAATTACATTTAATAGTCGATTTGTAAAAAAAGCCATTTGTATATTATAATCCTCCATTTTTTGGTTTATGATGATTATTTCTAAGAGGCAAAACTTCTGGACTTTTCACCTAATTTTTTTTTTCTTTCTGCCTCCTTTTTTTCTTTTTTCAACTTACCCTTAAATGATGGAAAATTTTGTCCCTTTGTACCCCTTTTCTCTGTCCCAGGAAAGTGAAACTTTACTTCCTTTGTTTCTCTGAATGAGAGTATCTCTGTATTTTGGGGTTCAAAATGCCAGGCCCTTCTCACCCAGCCTCACACTCAGCTGAAGACTTTGCTATTTCACAGAGATAGTGGAAAAAACCAGAAGAGAATTTCCATATGCTTCCACCATAGCATCTACCTGTTTACCTGCATCTGTGCCCATGTACATAGTTTTCTGTTAATATAAATGACTCTCCATGCTCCTAAAAAAGGCCCAACTCTCCAACTTGTGCACTGGATTCTATTTCCTTCCAATTACTACAGCATGACTTACCTCTTTGCAGCAAAATTGAGCACCGTCACCCCATTTCCCCCTCGTCTGTCCCTGGCAACCACCATGCTACTCTCTACTTCTGTAAGTCTGACTATTTTAGATTCCACATAGAAATGAGATCATACAGTATTTGTCCTGTGTCTGGCTTAAATCACTTAGGATAATATCCACCAGCTTTATCCATGTTGTTGTAAATGACAGGATTTCTTTCTTTTTTAAGGAAAAATAATATTCCAGTACGTGTGTGTGTATCACAGTTTCTTTATCTATTCATCCATCTGTGGACATTTAGGTTGTTCTGGAGAATATATGCTTGCACAATGAACTCATGGAGGTATCTTTTCCCCAAAGAATATATCCAAAGGAGCGAATATCAGTTAGGGTAGCAGAGCTGGGCTGTGTCAGAACAAGATGTGGGAATCACTCTTTAGGAGGAGGACCATAAAGCATCCCACAGAGTATTTAGTATAAAATAGAAATAATAATAATATAAGAGGAAATTTATTACACTTTCACATTTGCTAGGCTTGCCTTTTGCTAAGTGTTATATGCAAGAGGGGCTTGGAAGCCTTTCAATTAAAATATATTCTGACCCCAGAATTTCCCCACTCACTATAATTCAACCTATATCTCAGGTCAGGTCAGCACAACTCACTACCTGCTCAAACGTGATCCAATCCAGGAAAAAAAAAAAGGCTATCTATCTTGTAAAACAGAAATAGACATACAGTGATGAGTAAAACTAAGAAATCTTGAAGATGATCTGAAGAGCCTGAAGATGACCCCCTTGCCTGGAGATGATCAGCCCCTAATGAAACCCTCTTACCTTGGAGAGAGATGCAGGGACGTCTTTGATATTTAGTTGCATCAGATTCCCAATGATGGGAAGGGGAGCTGGACCGGGGGGGAGCTTTCCCCTTTTGTGACTTTTCTTCCACACAAAAAGGAAACCCAGGAAAGCGACACAAATCATAAGAGCAAGAGTAATGATTTCCAGCAGCTCCATCTTAGCTTCTTGAGATCAGTAACTGTCAGGATGCCTGTTGGCAAAGTTTTATACATATGCAGGTTGTGACCTGCCAGCCAAAGGCTGTTCTGAGCTCTTGGAATTGGGAAAAAAAACACTTGGAAATTGTTTTGGCTCTGTTTACCTTCCTGAAGCTTGAGATTAGGAAGGATTCACATCTTTCCCACCTCTCACTCAAAAAATCTGCAACTTTTGATTTTTTAAGCCTCTGCATTACATGTACTTTTTCTTTCAGTACTAATGTTTCATTAAATATAAAGCTGCATTTTATTTTTCATAACTTTCTGAAACTGTTTAAATAACTGAATTCACAAATTTGGGGAAAAAAATTCATACATCCTAAGATCTGATTTGGAAAAATAACAGCTTTCAGGGTAGTCCTCCTCAAACATCATTTTTATCCTATCTCCCTCATCAGCTAAAAGTCTATGGTGCCCATCAACAGATTAGTGGAGAAATAAAATGTAGTATATACATATAGTAGAATATTAGTCACCTTTAAAAAAGAATGAAGTTCTAGTATTTGCTACAACATGAATGAACCTTGAAAACTATGTTAAGTGAAATAAGCATGATGTAAAAGTACAGATGTTGTTTGGTTTCACTCATACGAGGGACATAGAGTAATCAAATACAGAGACATGGAAAGTAGAACAAAGGTTACCAGGAGCTGGAAGGGGGAGAGAAAAGGGAGTTAATGTTTTAATGGGTACAGAGTTTCTGTTTTGGATGTTGAAAGATTTCTAGATTCATCTAGATCTGTCCGGGATCCATCTCCTAAAGCAAAGGAAATAAAAGCAAAAATAAAGAAACGGGACCTAATTAAATGTAAAAGCTTTGCATAGCAAAGGAACTCATCAACAAATTGAAATGACAACCCACTGAATGAGAGAAAATATTTGCAAATGATACAACTCACAAGGGACTACTATCCAACATATACAAACAGCTCAAACAACTCAACATGAAAAAAAAAACCTGATTGAAAAATGGGCAAAACTGATACACATTTTTCTTTTCTTTTTTTTTTTACA